TAGCTTCTAATACATTCCAAGCAACTAAGCAGAAAATTTTCAATAAATATTCAATATGTTATAACTTTCACCGCGTTTATATTTTACCTTATAGTATATAATACTATATATAAATTACATATTAAATCGTAAATTGGTACTTCATACATATTACGATAAGTTGAAAAAGTAAGGATACAATCTATCAAACGAAAAGCCCATAAGAAATATTAATTATCATCATCAAGATTAAATAAGAAAGATGGCAATCGAAGACCGAAATGAGAGTAGAATTACGACAGCGGCAGCATTTGTCTCAGCAACTAATAAAGGAGACAATATTGCACTCGATACGTATAAATGTGCGAGCAACATTTGGGGCGTGATATTAATTCCGCCAGTAATTGCTATCGGTTTCCACCCGGGGCTGCAGCCATGAGCCATGAATACGGGAGTTACCGCTATTTGTTCCTGACATTGCGGTTTAGGGTACCTCGACCCGTCCTATATTTATTTTCTTCCAGTTTTGTCCAAATACAATAGCCGAGTGGATTATCAGGCTATTCCAATAGTTTCGACCCGTTATCGGTAATTCTAATAGCCAATACACTGCACTACTTTGAGGTTACCGTAGTTGCATTTAGACTCTGAAATATATTACAAGATTAGATTTCGGTATAATGAAAAATTAGAATGTAATAGCTGCATCAACTCATTCACGAATTGGTAATAATGACTACTTAATAAAAGTTTAAAACAATCACACTCTCACAGCCGAGCTTAAATGACTTGGTCTAGCATGAAATTTTATGCACGATCTTTTTGTTAATAAGTTAAATAGAGGGTGAAAGTTTGTTCCATATAACATAGGTACTTTCTTGGATTTTCACAGTAATATTGTTGATCGAAGATTTTCGCGAATATTTGAGATTTTAAATAAATCTATCAAATATATATATATATATATATATATATATATATATATATATATATATAAAAAGTATTCTATATGTTGACCCGGATAACCAGCTTTTATTATACCAAATTTCATCAAAATCTGTTCAGTGGTTTTCTTGTTTTGCGTTCTTAGATAGACACAAGTTCGAATAAGTTAGAATTTTATTATATGTACCCTATAGATTTTCGTTACTGACGTTTCATGGTCATGGAACAAAAATTAAATAATAACCACGACAAAATCGGAAATGATACTTTAATTTAAAATGTTTCTATGGAAGTTTATCAATATAAGAATGATGGTAAAGTTAGACTAAGAAAGAAAATGCTTATGCTTCTGTTTATATTTCTGATGGGAAATCCCATCGGGCTCAGCTTGTATCTTATAAATGAAATATAAAATATAACTGCTAATACTATAACAGTCGATTCCTTTATACATTTAATAAACCGTATATAGATTATTATTATATAAAATATTATTTATCTATCTTACTATTTTCTCGTAGACATAAAACATATAGTGGCAATTTGTTCTCTGCTTTCTCTTCAGATCATGACCACGCCTCTTAGATAATGCTTTTATAATAATTGTAAGGACATGTTGCCTAAGCACACTCGACTATTTATCTGAGTGTACACTTAGATGAAGTCATTATCTCGTATATTTTCTGTTTATACTTTTAATAAATGCAAAAGCTTTTGCTTAATGGCTTATCTTCCTTTCACGCATTAGCAGAGCTAAAGGTACTGACAGGTGACATGCATTGAGGTAATCGTTACCATATGATATTAGTATAATACTTTCTTAGATTTATGTGAATATTTGACTTTTAAATAAAACTATCTTTTAGGATTTTTCCGCGGATTTATTTGGATTTTTGGTTCCCGACGTTTCGAATGCTTTACAGCATTCATGGTCACGGGAGAGACTGAGGTGTTAGATGTCTCGAAGGTATAGTTGTTACAGACAGCCTACTCACAAATAAAAAAAAAATTGCACCAATTACCTTATAATATTTTTTAACTTTAAATATTTTTATAATTTTAATTAGTTTTATAATTGAATATGGAATATTATTTATTTAATTTTTGCTGTTATTATAATAATTATTACAATTATAAAAATATTAATTAGTAATCTATATTTAGTGTTGCCATTATTATATTTATAGCCATAAAGAAAAATATAAAATGTACTATTAATTAATTAAGCCATATAATTGTTTTATGTGTAATTTAAAAGATCAAAATTAATTAAGGATAATAATATTAATTTAGTTTGCTATCATTTAAAAAGACAAATTACTAAGCAACACTATTACTATATACTTTTACAAATGAAAAATATTAATCTGATATGCTGTCATTTTAATCCACACAGTAAGAACTTACTACATCTAACTGTCTGTTATGTTTCGATTTATTATTTATTAATAAATCCGCGAAAAAATCTGAAAAGATAGTTTTATTTAAAATATTAGTATAATTTAAAAATAGAAGTACACATGAGGTTTGGCTGCTGATTAGTATTTTTTAAGCTATTGTCTACGGGTACAGTATATAATGCCATCTATTGGACACTATAACGAGAAGGTGGAATAATATTCTACAGCCAGCTTATATTAAAAACAAACATTCCACCAAGTCCCTGCAGTGCACTCTCAATTATTATTAAAACCATAAATATCTGTTCTCGTAGAAAAGTCATGTATAAAAATTGAGAGACAGCTCTTAAAGTTTGAAACAAAATTACGTCAAGTTATTCAAGTCTATATAAAGTAGACGTTGTAAGCGGAATACTTCCACGTACAAATTTTAACACATGAAATTTGCTGGTCCTGAGCCAAGAAGTAGGCATAATGTCCACATTTTTAGATCACCTACTAGAACTGCAGCGTGAATTTTTGTAAAAAAAATGTAATATAATATGAATTTATATTCCTACTAACTAGCGGCTCACCCTCGCTTCGCTCGGATTCGCCTCTAAAAAAACACTGATCATGAGAATAATGAGATCTATTAGTTCCCACAGGAACCGTTCATTTTTCTGGGATAAAAAGTAACCTGTTGTTTGACCGGCAGTATAAAGTATCAGAACGTTAAATTTCACTAAATTAGGTGCGTAAGTAGTTGTGTACAAAGCTGTATAAGTTACTATAATTTTTTAACTATCCCACTATTTAATTTTCCGGGATAAAGAGTATCTAAGATGTTGCCCGGGGATATAAGGTACCACCGTGAAAATTTCATATAACAAGATTTAAAGTGTCATGTCTTATATTTATTTGTTGCTTTAGAGTTTAGATGAAAAGCAATTTACTCATACACATATACACTTCCAGTCGAATCATTTTTACTTTTACAAGCTATTTACCCTGTTAGGTTATAAAATTCAGTTATTCCTTGTAGAAAGAAAATAAGGCATCCTCTTCTTAAAAATAAGTAGGACGTAACTCCATTCGGCAAAAGGCCTCTCAACTCCACGCTAGTGTACTACTACCAAGTTGAAGAGACCTGCCGCGTTCCTTGTACCGGTAAAAGATCGGTAGGAATAGGGTTTAGCAAAAGGATGCGGTGGGTCGATTATTAGTGGTCGTATTATACATAGTCAGCTCGATGTGTGAACGGAGGCCCTCGTTATTTTCAATTTCCATATACGAGCGCCCTTAGTATAGTACGCTCCCGTATATGAGGGCGTATTAAGCCATGAATCTTATAAAGACTCGAGTAGATTTAATACTCTTAGGAAAATAGACGCTTCACTTACTCTTAAGGTTTTGTTTATTTCTTTGTTAAACGATAATTACAATTTCTTTATGGAGATTTATCTTAATAACACGCTGAAATAAATAAATTCGTGAATTTATAAACCTGTAAGTTATAACAATAATCCTATAATAATACTTCTTTTTTATTTCATATTGCGTGAAATTTATAATGGAAGATGGTGTTATTATAACACATTTCTGGCAACACCGTCGGCGCGGCACTCACGGCAAGGTAGCCAGGGTGGAGCACAACGAGAAAATTGTATTTCCATTTTTACAATTTCAATTTAGTATTAATTCGAGCCCGGATCCCGGTCGGGCGCGCCACCACATGTAAAATATGGATCGGCTAAGTGAAATTAAAATGCTCTATAAATTGTGATTTTTGCAAGTCCTAAAGTGGAGAAGGCTTTTTATTATTTATCGCTCGAGCGCTCGTGGCCGACGTCGACTTACTGGAAATCGCTGTTATTATTCAATTTACTTGTTTAAAGTTTTACTTTGACGTCAGTTTTTATTTTTAAGCCTATAAAGACTTTCATGATTTTCATGCAGAAAACGGATAAGTTGCCCGATAAGCTACATACAATGAGGTACTATGTAGTTACCTTATTTATGATTTATATTTTTCTGACATTAAAACTCTTTTCACAGTTTCTTTTGTTAAAAATACTGTTTATTTTTCAAAGGATTAAATAAATAAAACTTTTCTCTTACCTTACTTTGTAACTTTGTAGATCTCGTAGCACTGCGTAGCACTAAGCTGCGTACGAGCACAGAAAGAAATGAAACTTTCTTTTAACTGCAATTAATTAATTTATTTCTTTTTAGATTATTAATTCAATTTTAATTTTCTTGTTAATGGCTTCAAAGCGAGCTAGTTTAATATTTTAATGGCCATACCTTAAATATTAAAACAATACATATAAAAATGACATTATTTTTAACATTTGCACTATATACTTACATGCAATCATAATCACATCACAATTGGATGAATTGGTTTAGGACCGCTGAGAAGACAAATATACAAACGTTAATTTTTATTTATTAAATTTTAAGTATGCATTGAACACTACATATGTATATATGTGCATTTGTATTGTCTTACGTAAAGCTTATACTTAAAAATTAAGATTTTTAATAATTTGAGTATTCTTATACTAAAGCAATTCGAAACTCCATATAAAAAGTATAGACATAGCAATATAATAACGAGTGGTACCACAGGCAAGCTAGTGGGTAATGTATGTAATTTTATAACTTGGAGATTGAAATTTCTTTTTGTTCCAGGGGCTTTGGGTTTATCACATTCGGCGATCCCGCCAGCGTAGACAAAGTTTTAGCTCAAGCAACACACGAATTAGATGGTAAAAAGGTAAGAACTTTTCATATCTTGTTTCGCTTAGCAAAATTTCTAGTTAAGTTAAAATAAGTTTTAAATATTACAATGTGTTTGTTATTAAATTAAATATTATTGATATAACAAACTTCACTAGGTTTTGCCAGCGGCTCCGCATAAGTTATGCTATTATTTAACTTATTAATTTGCAACCCCTAAATACTATAACCTCTAAATGATAATATTTCTGTCCGTTTAATGTTCTACTATAGCGTATAGACCTTCCTTCATTACTGATCAATATAGATCAATAATTCATTACAATAGTCCGCCACGCTAGCCTTATGTGGGTTGACGTACTTCACATATTTTTTGAACAATTGTTACATTTTCAAACATTGGGAATTATGTTGAAAATGATTCGCATATATTTAAAAACTGCATATCGAAAGAAGTGTCGATGTAAACCCCTTTTTTTAATTTAGCAAACGCGCTACGAAGGTACTACCACGGCCATCATATACTATATATAGATAATGTAATAGCTTTAAATAATCAAATAAATGAAAATTAACTATTATTTGATTAAAAAAGGAATCTGTGAGCTAAATCAGTTCAACTATTTTCCCGTGACACTGAATCTAACATTTCTAATAAAATTGAAACATCTCAAGTATTTTAAACATAAACTAAAAATAAAAAGAACCTATCCGGTTATTTATCATATTAATAATAATAATATATAATATTATATCGCTACTATTATATTATTATTAGGTAAAACTTAGACTTGCGACTCAAATAAAACATAAAACAAGTAGAAATAGTTACAAAATGTCAAGGAAAAATAAATTACAGGAAGTACTTCACTACATTTTGTTGAAAATCTTCGCCAACGATTCCTACAAACTACGGGTCATAAATTATACAACTTGAGTGTGTATATAGTTTGGGTCATATAAAATTAAACATCTCAAAAGGCATGTCTTGATTTTCTAAGCGTTATGACTGCAGGGAATAAGTTCATATTTCTTGAGTTTATTGTCACATTCAGACTAACATAAATTCTCTGTCCTCGGGCAAACGGCCTTTGCAGCCATCATAAAGCGTTAAATCACGATTGCCTTACGCGTTTTCAAACATTTTGTTTGGACATGTTTTATATGCATGAATTTGAAAAATTTAATATTATATTATGAATATGTATGATGTGATGCGTCGTATATGAATATTAATGTTATATAACCCTTAACAAATCTTGATTTCGTTTTAAACTTATTAATTATTTACAGTTACAATTAATATTTTAAATATTTTTTAATTAATATCTTAATTATATCAATTCGCTTTATTTTAACATAAATTACAATTGCAGAGATTTTATATGAAAGCCAAGATATACTACTACTGGATAAAAGCCAATCCAGATCAACAATTTTTAATTGCATAAATAAATTAAGAAATATGTTATACGATCGTATATATCAATAGAATGACTTATTTCTTTCTATTGCAATATGTACAAAATCTACTGTTATTTATTTAGTACATTTTTTTTGCTTTTAGTAAAAGTATATTTGATATATATGGAAGAAAATTTACTCTTATTGTTAAGGAAATTAATTAATAAATTAGCATAATCGCAAAATAAGGAAATGGAGTGAATTGGTTGCTATAAAATAAAACATTTATAAATTGTGCATTGCATTATACTTCTATCAAAATTATACTCGTAGTTATAAAAGTAATTTTCCATTTAATTACAAACTCGTTAGCATTTATTTAAATTTACTATTGCCATCATAACTATTATTAAAATATTAAAACACTAGCGACTCATCCAAGCTTCGCTTTGATTTCCCATACAAACTTTCATCCCCATTTTCACCCCCTTATGGGATGATTTTCGGGATAAAAAGTATCTCAAACTATCTTCTTACCAAATTTCATCTAAATCGGTTTAGTAGATCCAGAGATTACCCCCTACAACGTCACAAACTCACAAACTTTACCTGTTTATAATAAACTAAAAAAGCTAATTACTAAGAATTACTGACCATTTATGACCATTTTGTGACCAATTCAAACCACTTTTGAAGAGGCCAAATATCATCATTTTGGCCGCTAAATAGATGGAGCTGCATCAGAGACGCGTGTTCTTACTAATGCATAAAAGTCCGGCACATCTGCACTCGCGAACATCTTCGATGAACTGCAAAACGCGGTAGCCCCAGCATTACCCGGAAGGCCTTATTATATTGGACGCGCAGAGCACTGTACGACCTCTGCGTACAACTGACCCATAGGGTGTACGTGTATATGGACTGAAAAGTTTCATCATGCAAGTGTAATTTAATTGTTCTAAGTGAATTCAGCCAAATAATTAATCATTAGTTAGATACAATTTTCTTTAGCAATTTAAAATATTATCTTATATTTTATAGTTATGTACTCGCTATTTTATAGTTATGTACTCGCTAATTAATATGCAAATAATTTTATATAGTGATTTAATTTTTAAATAATCCTGGTTTACACTTTATCGACAATGATATGATCTGGCTAGCTTTATATTTTACTAGCATTGCCCGCGGCTCCGCCCGCGTTCAGATGACTAAAAAGCAAATTCTTAGGTTTTACATATTAGTATATCTTACAATGCAGTTTTTGTATTTTTTCTCAGAAATGAGATATTTTCCCGCGGTAAAAAGTTCTCTGTATCGATAATAATGTCTATTTCAATAAGATTTTCTAAAAAATATTTAATGTACAGATTCGGCTTATTTACAATTTTATTATATATTTAGATTAGCTTTCGACTGCGATTATATATAATGTCACTCCCAGCTAAATCCTTTGACTGCCAGTAGAAGTCTTAACTAGACTTAAAACCGATGTAGGTTAATTCATCCTTCTTTATACGCTATTTCGTGGATTTTTCTTCTATTTTAACTGTTGTGGGTATTTTAGAACTAAAGTGACCTATCACACTCGTCTGAATCCTCTATTTCTTGAGTTTAGCGGTGACAAATATACAGTAAGAAAATGGTAATATTTGTTTGAGCATAACTTAACGTGCAAATAATCGTTTTGTAAATTCTGTATGGGATAGCTATTTAAATTGAATTTTATATATATAAGTTAGGTATATTTTATTCCTTTTACTTTAAGATGCTTTTCAATTCTAATCAATTTTTAAGTAGTATTTTTTGACAAATTGATTATGAAAATCTATCAAAGAATTCGTTCCCTATTGATTAAATGCTAAGCTAACGATTAAAGCCGTTTATTAGTAAGGGGGCAAGTGATGCTATAACAAATTATTTTCAAATTATTTTTTCTACAATCTATTCACACTTTTGGCACAGTTTGTAGTGACCGTACTTGTTGTGCCAGCGGCCTCGGGTTTGAGTCCTGCTTGGGGCATTCATTTGTGTGATGAGCACGAATTTTTGTACTTCAGTCATGAGTGTCTGTCTATATTTATAATCTGTATTTATTTAAAATTATTATAAATGTGTAGTGTATCAACCATCTGGTATCCATAACACACAAGCCCCATTGCTTACCATAGAACTAGATGGTGCTGTATTATAATGTTTCAACACATTTATTATTTACTAGCATGTCCCGCGGCTCCGCACGCGTTCAGATGACCAAAAAGCAAATTCTTAGGTTTTACATATTAGTATACTCTTACAATGCAGTATTTGTATTTTTTCTCAGAAATGAGATATTTTCCCGCGGTAAAAAGTATCCTATATATTGACCCGGATAACCAGCTATCATCATATCAAATATCATCAAAATCTGTCCAGTGGTTTTCTCGTGATGCGGTAACAGACAGGCAGATAGACAGACAGACAGACAAAAATTCTAAAAACTATAGATTCGAACTCTGTATCGATAATAATGTCTATTCCAATAAGATTTTCCAAAAAATATTCAATGTACAGATTCGACTTAGTTACAATTTTATTATACGTATAGATTTATTATTTATTTATTATTATTGAACGTTACATTTTTTCATTATTCCTAATGTGTAAGTAAAAAGCAACACTTATACAGAATATTATTTCCATCATCATCAATATTACTTTGTATTTTTATTGAGATAAAGGAGGGTAAAAACATTTTTAGCAATCTCTTGATCCTGAATATGATATTTTTATTGATAAAGTAATCGAAAATACTTTATTGCCTGTACGCCTTATAACCGCTAAAGGAAGGCATTTAAAAATGAAGTTATGAGAAAGGAATTTTGTTACTAGTATACTTTTATTTATACAAAAAAATCGTTTATTTTTCAGTTTTTACTTTTTAAATAATTGATTAAAGATTAAATAAAATTAATGGCGAACTGATTAAATTTAATTTATATAAAAATAATATATATATATATATATATATATATATATATATATATATATATATATATATATATATATTTATTTCGAATATAATATAATCGGCCCGTATATAATAATTTATTTCTCTAAAAATCACTTAATTTTATTGAATTGATTATAAATTTGCAAATGTATCACAGCTACCAACGAATAGATCAACTGTTGCGGGTAAATTACTATCGGGCAAAACTATTATTTCAGTAAGCCAAATAGTTTGGCCAATCCTGAAATAAAAATACAAGAAAGAATGCTATTTATCCAATGTCTAGTCATTTATGTAGATAATAATCATCTTTATGTCGGTATCCGAGGCACATTACGAGCTTTTGTCCTATTCGCTGTTCAGATGGGGAAAAAAGTCGATTTCTATAGCTTACCACCAAATAATCTAGACAAATTACAGTGCTGTCGTTGTTTACTTTGATTAAATTGTAGTCGACTGGTGGAAGATTAGCTGAAGCCTCGCAAATCGAGCGAGAAGAGCATTTTCTCAATTTACATAAAAGCAATGCGGGAAATCGTGATAGTGTATATATTTAACGTTTAAAATGTGTTTTACAAGAGTTTTACACTTAAAATTTTACTAATAGTAATAATCCACAAAATAATTTAAAATACCTACAT